CTTACCACCTGGGGGCGGCCCTTCAGGAAGTCCAGGATCCAGTTGCAGAGGGAGGTGTTTAGTCCCAGGATCCTTAGCTTAGTGATGAGCTTAGAGGGCACTATGGTGTTGAATGCTGAGCTGTAGTCAATGAATAGCATTCTCACGTAGGTGTTCCTCTTGTCCAGGTGGGAAAGGGCAGTGTGGAGTGCAATAGAGATTGCATCATCTGTGGATCTGTTGGGGCGGTATGCAAATTGGAGTGGGTCTAGGGTTTCTGGGATAATGCTGTTGATGTGAGCCATGACCAGCCTTTCAAAGCACTTCATGGCTACAGACGTCAGTGCTACGGGTCGGTAGTCATTTAGGCAGGTTATCTTAGAGTCCTTGGGCACGGGGACAAAAATAGCTATAGGTCGTGTCTCGGAACAAGTGAAACTGAAATCGGTAAACAGAACAGCAATACGTGACTTGATGCTACAGTTGAAGTCGGAAGTTTACATACACTTAGGTTGGAGTCATTAAAACTTGTTTTTCAACAACTCCACACATTTCTTATTAACAAAATATAGTTTTGGCAAGTTGGTTAGGACATCTACTTTAGTAATTTTTCCAACAATTGTTTACAGACAGATTATTTACATTTACATTTTAGTCATTTAGCAGACGCTCTTATCCAGAGCGACTTACAGTTAGTGAGTGCATACATTTTTTCATACTGGCCTCCCGTGGGAAACTAACCCACAACCCAACAGTTGGTCAAAAGTTAACATACACTAAGTTGACTGTGCCTTTTTAAACAGCTTGGAAAATTCCAGAAAATGATGTCATGGCTTTAGAAGCTTCTGATAGGCTAATTGACATAATTTGAGTCAATTGGAGGTGTACCTGTGGATGTTTTCAAGGCCTACCTTCAAACTCAGTGCCTCTTTGCTTGACATTTACATTTTTAGTCATTTAGCAGACACTCTTATCCAGAGCGACTTACAGTTAGTGAGTGCATACATTATTATATATTATTTTTTTCATACTGGCCCCCCGTGGGAATCAAACCCACAACCCTGGCGTTGCAAACGCCATGCTCTACCAACTGAGCTACATCCCTGCCGGCCATTTCCTCCCATACCCTGGACGACGCTGGGCCAATTGTGGGCCGCCCCATGGGTCTCCCAGTCGCGGCTGGCTATGACAGAGCCTGGATTCGAACCAGGATCTCTAGTGGCACAGCTAGCACTGCGATGCAGTGCCTTAGACCACTGCGCCACTCGGGAGACCTACATCATGGGAAAATCAAAAGAAATCAGCCAAAAATTGTAGACCTCCACAAGTCTGGTTCATCCTTGGGAGCAATTTACAAACGCAGGAATCACTGAATCACTGGACCTTAACACCGGACCATCGCAACTAGCTAGCTGCAACCGAATGGCTGTTGTTGGCTAATATGTTGTTGGCTAATATCCACTTCCCTGCGTACCAGTTAGCCTTGAGCTAGCCTCGAGCCAGGCCCATCTCCCGGCTATCTACCTCTCTGTCAACCGGACGGGACCTCCTAGTGTCGACACGGAGCCCCGCCGATCCATCACGCCTGGTCTGCCGACGTAATCATCTGATGTGGTTTCAAATGGCTTCCCGTTGGGCCGACCACGAATATCCATCTTCTAGCCCCGGCCCACTAGCACGCGCAATCAACAGCCGTGCCTCCTGCTCGCCTGTGCTTTAGCAGCCTACGATCTGCTCCCGTACTTACTTAGTGCTGTTCACTGGACCTTATGATCACTCAGCTACACAGCTAATGCCTGCTGGACTGTTCCTTTACACGGTACCCCATCCTGTTTATCTGTTTAGCCTCAGCCCAAACTTTCGTCGCCATTACCAGTTGTTGTCTTAGCCCTCTCGAATAACACCTGTGATTGCTTTATGCCTATCTCCCATTTCAATATGCCTAGCCTATTGCTATTTGGGTTAGTTCTTATTATACAATTTCACTGTAGAGCCCCAAGTTCAGCTCAACCAGCCTCAGAGAGCTCCTTTGTCCCACCCCCCATACACGCGGAGACCGGCTCAATCGGTACCTCTATCTCTTTCATAGTTACCCAATGCTTAGGTTTACCTCCACTGTACTCATATCCTTCCATATCCTTGTCTGTACATAATGCCCTGAATCTATTCTTCAAACGCCCGGAAATCTACCCCCTTTCTTTGTACCCAACGCACTAGAAGACCAGTTCTTAAAGCCTTCTTTAGCCTTATCCTTATTCTATTCCTCCTCTGTTCCTCTGGTGATGTAGCGGTTAACCCAGGCCCTGTAGTCCCCAGTATCACTACTACCCCCCAGGCGCTATCATTTGTTGACTTCTGTAACTGTAAAATCCTTGGTTTCTTGCATGTTAACATCAGAAGTCTCCTCCCCAAGTTTGAGTTATTCACTGCATTAGCACACTGCCAACCCTGATGTTCTAGCAGTGTCTGAATCTTGGCTTAGGAAGGCCACCAAAAATTCAGAAATTTCCATTCCGAACTACAACATTTTCTGTCTAGATAGACCTGCCAAAGGGGGCGGAGTCTTGCTACAGACTCCCCTCAGCCCCCAGTTGTGCCCTGGACACCATATGTGAATTGCTTGCCCCCCATCTATCCTCAGAGTTCGTACTGCTTGGTGACCTAAACTGGGATATGCTTAACACCCCGGCCGTCCTACAATCTAAACTAGATGCCTGCAACTGCTCTTAAATGCTAGTAAAACTAAATGCATGCTCTTCAATCGAACGCTGCTTGCACCCGCCCGCCCGACTAGAATCACTACTCTCGGCGGGTCTGACTTAGAATATGTGGACAACTACAAATACCTAGGTGTCTGGTTAGACCGTAAACTCTCCTTCCAGACTCACATTAAGCATCTCCAATCCAAAGTTAAATCTAGAACCGGCTTCCTATTTCGCAACAAAGCCTCCTTCACTCATGCTGCTAAACATGCCCTCGTAAAACTGACTATCCTACTGATCCTTGACTTCGGCAATGTCATTTGCAAAATAGCTTCCAACACTCTACTCAGCAAATTGGATGTAGTCTATCACAGTGCCATCCGTTTTGTCGCCAAAGCCCCATACACTACCCACCATTGTGACATGTACACTCTTGTTGGCTAGCCCTCACTACATATTCGTCGCCAAACCCACTGGCTCCAGGTCATCTATAAATCACTTCTAGGCAAATCCCCGCCTTATCTTAGATCATTGGTCACCATAGCAACACCCACACATAGTATGCGTTCCAGCAGGTAAATCTCACTGGTCATCCCCAAAGCCAACACCTCCTTTGGCCGCCGTTCCTTCCAGTTCTCTGCTGCAAATGACTGGAACGAACTGCAAACATCTCTGAAGCTGGAGACTCTTATCTCCCTCACTAACTTTAAGCATCTGTTGTCAGAGCAGCTTACCGATCACTGCACCTGTACACAGCCCATCTAATTAGCCCACTCAACTACCTCATCCCCATATTGTTATTTACATTGTTATTTATTTTGCTCATTTGCACCCCAGTATCTCTACTTGCACATCATCTTCTGCACATCTATCACTCCAGTGTTAATACTAAATTGTAATTATTTTGCAACATGGCCTATTTTTTGCCTTACCTCCATCACTTACTACTTTTGCACACACTGTATATAGATTTTCTATTGTGTTATTGACTGTATGTTTTGTTTTTGTTTATTCCATATGTAACTCTGTTGTTGTTTTTATCGCACTGCTTTGCTTTATCTTGGCCAGGTCGCAGTTGGAAATGAGAACTTGTTCTCAACTGGCTTACCTGGTTAAATAAAGGTGAAATAAGAAAATGAAAATAAAATAAAAAAGAAGGTACCACGTTCATCTGTACAAACAATAGTACGCAAGTATAAACACCATGGGACCACGCAGCCGTCATACCGCTCAGGAAGGAGTGGTGCAAAAGGACCATGTGAAGATGCTGGAGGAAACGGGTACAAAAGTATCTATATCCACAGCAAAAAGAGTCCTATATTGACATAACTTGAAAGGCCGCTCAGCAAGGAAGAAGCAACTGCTCCAAAACCGCCATAAAAAAAGCCAAACCTTGGTTTGCAACTGCACATGGGGACAAATAACTTACTTTTTGGCGAAATGTCCTCTGGTCTGATTTGGCCATAATGACCATCGTTATGTTTGGAGGAAAAAGGGGGATGCTTGCAAGCCGAAGAACACCATCCCAACCGTGAAGCACGGGGTGGCAGCATCATGCTGTGGGGGTGCTTTGCTGCAGGAGGGACTGGTGCACTTCACAAAATAGATGGCATCATGAGGAAGGAAAATTATATGGATATATTGAAGCAACATCTCAAGACATCAGTCAGGAAGTTAAAGCTTGGTCGCAAATGGGTCTTCCAAATGGACAATGACCCCAAGCATACTCCAAAGTTGTGGCAAAATTGCTTAAGGACAACAAAGTCAAGGTATTGGAGTGGCCATCCCAAAACCCTGACCTCAATCCTATAGAAAATCTGTGGGCAGAACTGAAAAAGCGTGTGCGAGCAAGGAGGCCTACAAACCTGACTCAGTTACACCAACTCTGTCAGGAGGAATGGGCCAAAATTCACCCAACTTATTGTGGGAAGCTTGTGGAAGGCTACCCGAAACGTTTGACTAAAGTTAAACAATTTAAAGGCAATGCTACCAAATACTAATTGAGTGTATGTAAACTTCTGACCCACTGGGAATGTGATGAAAGAAATAAAAGCTGAAATAAATCATTCTCTCTACTATTATTCTGACATTTCACATTCTTAAAATAAAGTGGTGATCCTAACTGACCCAAGACAGGGAATTTTTACTAGGATTAAATGTCAGGAATTGTGAAAAACTGAGTTTAAATGTATTTGGCTAAGGTGTATGTAAACTTCCGACTTCAACTTTAAATTGGATCACTAAAGCAGTGTTTTGGCTTTACCTGGTCTATGGCTTTCTGTTGAAAGCTGAATTCAAGCCAGAGCTGTTCCCTCTGTAATGCGTTTCATACCATGTCTCCTTCTCCCTGCAGTTTCCCAAGCCAGACCCCCACCAAATCAAAAGAAGGGTATGTACTGCTACGTCAAAGTGTGTGTGTTATTGATAAATGTTGTTAAATGGGAATATATGAACTAATGCATATTGTGATCCTGTTTCATTGCAGGCTCTAGGACCCCCATTGTCATCATTCCAGCGGCTACCACATCCCTCATCACCATGCTCAATGCCAAGGACCTCCTGCAGGACCTCAAGTAAGTAGGCTGGTGTGAGAGAGAGAGTCTATAGGAAAAACTTGGATAAATCCTATTGGTGTTCAGCCCTGGTAAGTCATCATATCAATACACGCACAGTATTTATGCTACTCTGTTTGTGGGGGTGGGTGTCGGTCATTATCAATCATTGAATTGTCTTCTGCTTTGTACAAATACATCAAACATAAAGTGCTAAATAGGAAGCAGGTGATTGACTGAGCAAAACCCTATCCGTTGAAACGTGCACATGTATTTGTCTAAAGTGGTAAAAGTTTAATTAATAAGGTACATGACCTCAAGTTGAGTTTTATCCAAGACAAATTCACATTCTTATTTGATTTATAACAATACTTCACGAGTGAAGCTTACAAAATGAAACACTGCCATTGTTCGCCACCTCCACACCTCACAAAGGTGAATTACACCGGCGTGTTCATTGAAGGTGCGTACATAAATACACACAGACTTCACATGAGTGGAGTAATTGCTATTTTGCAGTTTAATTGGCGTCATAAATCACTGGATGTCATAAGATGGTGGCGGCTCCGGCTGTGTGGATGAGCAGCATGGTGGTGTAGGGAGAGAGCACTGACGGCAGAACACAGGGTCTATGTGGATGAGCAGCATGGTGGTGTAGGGAGAGAGCACTGACGGCAGAACACAGGGTCTATGTGGATGAGCAGCATGGTGGTGTAGGGAGAGCACTGACGGCAGAACACAGGGTCTATGTGGATGAGCAGCATGGTGGTGTAGGGAGAGAGCACTGACGGCAGAACACAGGGTCTATGTGGATGAGCAGCATGGTGGTGTAGGGAGAGAGCACTGACGGCAGAACACAGGGTCTATGTGGATGAGCAGCATGGTGGTGTAGGGAAAGATTTAACCAGGGAGAGCACTGACGGCAGAACACAGGGTCTAGCTACCCACCCCCTGCTCTGCTCTGTGAACACATGACCGCTCCTTTAAAACGCCCCCTGCTCTGTGAACACATGACCGCTCCTTAGAAACACCCCCTGCTCTGTGAACACATGACCGCTCCTTAGAAACGCCCCCTGCTCTGTGAACACATGACCGCTCATTAGAAACGCCCCCTGCTCTGTGAACACATGACCGCTCCTTTAAAACGCCCCCTGCTCTGTGAACACATGACCGCTCCTTAGAAACACCCCCTGCTCTGTGAACACATGACCGCTCCTTAGAAACGCCCCCTGCTCTGTGGACACATGACTGCTCATTAGAAACGCCCCCTGCTCTGTGAACACATGACCGCTCCTTAGAAACGCCCCCTGCTCTGTGAACACATGACCGCTCCTTAGAAACGCCCCCTGCTCTGTGAACACATGACCGCTCCTTAGAAACCCTCCCTGCTCTGTGAACACATGACTGCTCCTTTAAAACGCCCCCTGCTCTGTGAACACATGACCGCTCATTAGAAACGTCCCCTGCTCTGTGAACACATGACAGCTCCTTATAAACGCCCCCCTGCTTTGCGAACACATGACAGCTCCTTAGAAACATTGCTACCATAGCTGCACATAGCTATTGGCTACTAAGCCAGCCTGTTGCCTGAGGTCATAGTGTCTTAAAAACAGGGTTGTTTTTATTAGGGATCTTGTTTAATGAGCACTTGTTAATGGCCTTATCGTCCAAGAGAATAAACATAAGGAGGTCAAGAAACTGGTTCTCCTAAACGAAAGAGCAGGATCTGCACATTTGGTCAAGAATAACTTACGGACATTTTTGATACATTAAATACTAGGTCTACGAATGGCCAGGGCACTCACGGTACGTCTTATTTTGTGTATGGAGAGGCTAGCGTGCTAGCAGCTGCCAAGTTTCAAAACAGGCAAAAAACTGAAACAACCCTACGGGGGATGTATTTTTGTTGTTTTGTTATGTAGGCTATAGATTTAGTGTGACTGGGAAAAGATAGGACTTGTTTTTTTTTGTTAGCATGCTAGGGAGACAACGGAGGGCTTTAAAGGTAGAGGCTGGAACGAATGACGGCCAAGTGGAAACCATTCAGACTGGGCTATAAATAAAATAAGTGCTGGAAATGAGTAATAAGACTTCATTATTTGGGACATTTAGTAACTTGATCTTATAATCACACCCAAGTCGGCAACATTTGTCCTCAAGAGACCACTACTACCAATTCTTCATATGTATAAAATAAATTCCAAAAACACTTTACTTCATTATTAGAATTAAAATGCCTTTGAGATTTGCATATATCCATAAAGCTATAGGTCACCTTCATCATCCCAAAAGAGACTTCTTTTTAGCTTTGCCCCCCTTTCTGAAGAACAGTTGATAACAGTAATGCATCCTTGAACTTGGTTATACATGCGTCAGGGATTAGATTTCTCAGGAATCAGTAATTGCTGCTTTCCGACATCCTCTCATACTGCATTGATATTGACCAAATCCTAAAGATGTGCATATCTCCCATTGACATAAGGCGATTTTGATTTTGACCAACACACAAACCAACCCTTTTTAAATTTCTTTTTTTTTTAAATCTCCATTTTTACCTTTGTCTGTCAGGTTTGTGACCTCAGAGGAGAAGAAGAAGCAGGGCATCCAGCGGGACAACGAGGTGCTGCTCCAGAGACGTAAGGACCAGATCCAGCCCGGGGGGGCAACGCTCAGCGTCACCGTGCCCTACAGGGTCATCGACCAGCCCCTCAAACTAGCGCCGCAGGACTGGTGAGTCACCACCACCGGACATATTTGTAATCTTCCATACATATGTTCCACTCTATATCATCGAACAGCCCCGAGTCACCATTCATTATTGTCCATACATACATTTTACTCAGTAGGAGTCACCAGGACTGTACATGACTACACAGGGCTCTAAATTAACATGTTTCATTAGTAGCACTGGTGCGCCTAACTTAGAAAAGTTAGGAGTACCACACAAAAATGTAGGAGCACCAGAAAAATATATTTTTTTAATTGATTGAGATATTGCCTACATTGGGCCTATAGGAATCCTACTTACTTTTGAAGCAGATCTTTTTGAAGCAGGTATCCATTTTCCTTTCCTTCTGTGCCATACCCACCAAATGTTTGCATATACTGGTAAAGTTACCAGGTTGTTAGTAGGGCTGCACGATTTGGGGAAAAAAATCTAATTGCGATTTATTATTATTTTTGAAACCATATATTACGATTTGACTTGTGATATAGATCAAAACACTGGGGTGAACTGTTTGAATCATATAAATATAATTATATGGTTGGTGTTTGGCATGACAACAGATGAAAAAGCCAGGTAGGAGTTATGTCAGGGTAGGAACCAAAGTGTTGGTCAGTGTTTCCCATGGGACTCTAATCACATTTGAATAGCATTTAGACAAAGATTTTAGAATAGGCTATCTGATTCAGAACATGCCGTTGCACAAACAACATGCTGATCTACACCACCACTAGTAGCAACCTGTATTAGAGCTAACGTTTGCTTTGCCCTAGCTATTACGTTTAGCTAAATGGCATTTAGCTAGCTAGTTAGCGATTAGCATTATTTTCGGCACATGCCAGCTTCCTTTAACGAACTCGTGTTTTGCATAGAGCAAGATACACAAACTAATAGTATAATAGAGAAAACATTCATATTTAGAAGCAATGTGGAAAGCAGCATCATTCTTGTTTTGGAAGAATGTGTGGAGTCCATGAATTGACAGCATCCAATTTGTAAGTCGCTCTGGATAAGAGCGTCTGCTAAATTACGTAAATGTAATGCTGAGAGAATAAACAGCGTGGACGAACTGTGTGCTGCCTGCTTGAGTGGCGGGGGGCGGTGCTTGGTTTGTGTGGCCTGGGCACTATAAACAAGCAGCCACGGGAGGCAGCCTGTCTTGTTTGAATAGCCATACACCGGGAGTCTCAAACCTACGGCCCCCTGGGCCAGATGTGGCCTGTGAGCCGATTTGTATTTAATTTTTTATGCGACCCATTGTTGTCTTAGTCCCAAAACAAATTGCCACATGGTACATTTTGTATGATTTGGTTGTATTGGGTTTCTGAGGCTTATAAATAAGCAATAAGGCCAGAGAAGGTGTGGTATCTGGCCAATATACCACGGCTAAGGGCTGTTCTTAGGCACGACGCAGTCCAGAGTGCCTGGACACAGCCCTTAGCCGTGGTATATTGGCCATATATCACACCTTCTCTGGCCTTGAGGTGCCTTATTGCTATTATAAACTGGTTACCAACATAATTAGAGCAGTAAAAATAAATGTTTTGTCATACACATGGTATACAGTCTGATATACCATGGATGTCAGCCAATCAGCATTCAGGGCTCGAACCACCCAGTTTGTAATAATAATTTGGTGGGTGCTTATGTGTCCTATTTCACACATGTAAAAGTGTGTATTACTACGCATGTGTGAATTGGAAAAGTTTTTTTATTTTTTCTTCATATTCCAACTCCCCCTGAGACGCCCTCGGAGAGTGGGGTCACGGCCAGGTTCTGCCATTATCAACGGCGACCCTGGAGCAATTAGGGTTAAGTGCCTTGCTCACGAGCACAGCGGCGGATTTTTCACCTTGTCAGCTCGGGGATTCGAACTAGCAACCTTTCGGTCACTGGCCCAACACTCAGCTATCTGCCGCCCCTTGAAAAATTCACCCACAATCTGCAATCAGAATGTCTGCCAGGGTTAGAAAGTTGATATTGACTTTGTGTTGTGCAGGGATCGTGTGGTGGCTGTGTTCGTGCAGGGCCCAGCCTGGCAGTTCAAGGGTTGGCCTTGGCTGTTGCCTGACGGATCTCCTGTGGACATTTTCGCTAAAAGTGAGATTCCTCCCGTTTCTCTTCACTTGTTTTTATACACACAGGAGTAGCACTTTTGACAAGGTAATTGAATATATTTCTTGTTACAGGTAACTACTGATAATTACTATGGTTACCCAGTTAAAGTAACGTGCCACCCATACGGGTCTTTGGCTCCTAACCTGTTACAGTGGGGGAAAAAAGTATTTAGTCAGCCACCAATTGTGCAAGTTCTCCCACTTAAAAAGATGAGAGAGGCCTGTAATTTTCATCATAGGTACACGTCAACTATGACAGACAAAATGAGAAAAATAAATCCAGAAAATCACATTGTAGGATTTTTTATGAATTTATTTACAAATTATGGTGGAAAATAAGTATTTGGTCACCTACAAACAAGCAAGATTTCTGGCTCTCACAGACCTGTAACTTCTTCTTTAAGAGGCTCCTCTGTCCTCCACTCGTTACCTGTATTAATGGCACCTGTTTGAACTTGTTATCAGTATAAAAGACACCTGTCCACAACCTCAAACAGTCACACTCCAAACTCCACTATGGCCAAGACCAAAGAGCTGTCAAAGGACACCAGAAACCAGGCTGGGAAGACTGAATCTGCAAAGTAAGCAGCTTGGTTTGAAGAATCAACTGTGGGAGCAATTATTAGGAACTTTAAGACTAAACCCTTCTCCTCGACTCTGGGGCTCCACGCAAGATCTCACCCCGTGGGGTCAAAATGATCACAAGAACGGTGAGCAAAAATCCCAGAACCACACGGGGGGACCTAGTGAATGACCTGCAGAGAGCTGGGACCAAAGTAACAAAGCCTACCATCAGTAACACACTACGCCGCCAGGGACTCAAATCCTGCAGTTCCAGACGTGTCCCCCTGCTTAAGCCAGTACATTTACATTTACATTTTAGTCATTTAGCAGACGCTCTTATCCAGAGCGACTTACAGTTAGTGAATACATTTTTTTTTTTTTTTTTTTTTTTTTTATACTGGCCCCCCGTTGGGAATCGAACCCGCAACCCTGGCGTTGCAAAACGCCATGCTCTATCAACTGAGCTACATCCCTGCACGGCCATTCCCTCCCCTACCCTGGACGACGCTGGGCCAATTGTGCGCCGCCCATGAGTCTCCTGGTCGCGGCCGGCTGCGACAGAGCCTGGATTCGAACCAGGATCTCTAGTGACACAGTTAGCACTGCGATGCAGTGCCTTAGACCACTGCGCCACTCAGTACATGTCCAGGCCCGTCTGAAGTTTGCTAGAGTGCATTTGGATGATCCAGAAGAGGATTGGGAGAATGTCATATGGTCAGATGAAACCAAAATAGAACTTTTTGGTAAAAACTCAACTCGTCGTGTTTGGAGGACAAAGAATGCTGAGTTGCATCCAAAGAACACCATACCTACTGTGAAGCATGGGGGTGGAAACATCATGCTTTGGGGCTGTTTTTCTGCAAAGGGACCAGGACGACTGATCCGTGTAAAGGAAAGAATGAATGGGGCCATGTATCGTGAGATTTTGAGTGAAAACCTCCTTCCATCAGCAAGGGCATTGAAGATGAAACGTGGCTGGGTCTTTCAGCATGACAATGATCCCAAACACACCGCCTGGGCAACGGAGTGGCTTCGTAAGAAGCATTTCAAGGTCCTGGAGTGGCCTAGCCAGTCTCCAGATCTCAACCCCATAGAAAATCTTTGGAGGGAGTTGAAAGTCCGTGTTGCCCAGCGACAGCCCCAAAACATCACTGCTCTAGAGGAGATCTGCATGGAGGAATGGGCCAAAATACCAGCAACAGTGTATGAAAACCTTGTGAAGACTTACAGAAAATGTTTTACCTGTGTCATTGCCAACAAAGGGTATATAACAAAGTATTGAGAAACTTTTGTTATTGACCAAATACTTATTTTCCACCATAATTAGCAAATAAATTCATTAAAAAAATTTTTTTCTCATTTTGTCTGTCATAGTTGACGTGTACCTATGATGAAAATTACAGGCCTCTCTCATCTTTTTAAGTGGGAGAACTTGCACAATTGGTGGCTGACTAAATACTTGTTTTCCCCCCACTGTATACCTGTTCAATGAACTGGACTTAGGTTAATGCATATTTGCAAGCTAACCTGTACAACCCAAGTCTCAACTAGTGTTAGTCCTACCTAATAGACCATGTGTGGTTGTGGTCGCCCTGCAGTCAGAGCCTTCCATCTGAAGTATGACGAGCAGAAGATGGACCCCAACGTTCAGAAGTGGGACGTGACCGTGCTGGAGCTGAGCCACCACAAGCGCCATCTGGACCGGCCCATGTTCCTGAAGTTCTGGGAGACCCTCGACAGGTGTGTTTTTGAAAGCGTGTGTGCTCGTGACGCAATGGGGTCGATATTAAACCCACCTCTCCTCCGTCATGTAACCTCTCCTCCGTCATGTAACCTCTCCTCCTTTCCCTCTATACTGGGCTATATTTTCAATAAAATGTCTGGGGAAAAATACTTAAGGAAAAAGAGAGAGAAAACATGTAATGTGTAGATGGTTTATTGTACATTTTAGCACTCATGTACATGGAGTTAAATAGCCTATCTGTAAATGTTTCTACTTCATATTCCCTGGGGTTAGAAACAGTTGGGATGTACAGTGTATTTGAATAAGATGACGTTGTAGAATGCATGAGCTCCTTCTGACCACACATTCTCTTCCTGTTCCACCTACAGATACATGGTAAAACACAAGTCCCACCTGAGGTTCTGAGCCTGGACCGCGGCCTCCTCCCTCCACAGGTCCCGTCAAGGCATTTATAAACCCCCTGCCCCAAACCTAGCCCCCCTCCTCCTCCTCACCACCAGGACTACCACTAGAAGAGAATGGGCACCCTACCAGCACATTGGGGTCCCAGAATAAGCCCCTGTGTTCAGCTAGTCCGTCAGGAAAATACCTTCTACCTGGTCTCCATAGTTACAAGCAGCAGATGCAGTATGTCACTCTGGACATTGGGAGAGGAAGTTGGAGCTTCCAATGTTTTTTCAAGTTCTAATGTAAAAAAACGATATATCAAAACTATTTTCTAACAGCAGAGCGTCTTACTGTGGAGACCGAGGTTGAAGAGAGAGCGAGATGGAGAGAGCGGAAGAGGGGGATGGGTAGATGGTGAGAGAAGAAACAACTTCTGGTATTATTTCCTTTTGTGAAATGGATCCTGTACATTCCATGTGAAACATGAGCTGGCTGAGAAGCCCTTTGGAAATCTGGTGGTACAAATTAAAATCACTGCTAACCATAAGGGATATGAGACCTCTGTCAGTTTCATTTTCCGGTGTTTTTACTTTCTTACGAATGGAATATTTGTCTCTTTTTTCTTTTCTTTTTTTTTTCATTCTAGTGTGCATCCCAAATGGCACCCTACTCCATATATAGGGTCAAAAGCTGCCCATGCTAAAACTGGCTTTTGGGCACTATGATGCAGCCCTGTAGCATCTAAGTGATGTTCCATGCGATCGAAATGTATATATGATGAAATTAGAGCCAAACTTTCTGAACAGACTTTTAAGAAACTCAAAGAAGCTAGTCTTATTATTGATGCATAACAAAGCTCTTTTATGATCTAGTAGTGTTGATGCGTTCACATTTTTCAGTCCACAGTCTAGTTCAATCTCTGGTCCATGTAATTTTTTTTTGTTGTTTTTTTTGTGTTGTGTAAATGAAAGGAATGATGGCGAACATTTCCTTATGTGTTCACAGTGCAAATGGATCATAAAAGCTGGTAGAGGAATGGGTCTTGTTTGTGTTGCTGTTAACTTCTGCCTTTACCACGCAGAGATGGGCCCACCTAAATGGAACACAACCAGGTAGTAGTGTTGGAGTGGAGGGGGGAGAGACAGCAGATCAGTCTTCCTGTAAGCTCAGAGCCATGTCTCTGGGTCCTATTCATTAGACGCAAAACGGAGAGAAAACAGACAAACCATAAAGGGACTTCCTGCGCTTGTCCAATATGAAACGCTTGTCTTCCGTTAAATGTTTTGCTATGACATCAAATTGTATTAGTCACATGCTTCGTAAACAGCAGGCATAGGTAGACTAAGAGTGAAGTTCTTACGGGCCCTTCCCAACAATGCAGAGAAGAAAATGGAGCAATAAAAAAACACACAAAAATACCCGAATTGGTCAGGAGCCTGTAAAACAGCTGCTATACATTGCAGCGCCATTCTAAGTGATTCCATGTGCACTAATGTATATTACGCTGGTGTAATAGATGACCAGCCACTCTCTCTGTGGTTATGTTATTATGGAACGTGATCCTCCTGTGAAGGTGACCTGACCAAATCAAGATTGATTGACTCTGGGGAGTTTTCGAAATTGGGTATCTGAACTCATCAGTGGCAGAGCCACAGTCGGTGACCATCGTTGGTCCGATGATACACATTTTCATGAATAATCTCCTAAATAGGTAGGAATGTTGAGTCATAACTCAGAAACATGTTTAGAAACAACTCCCAGCAGCACAGAGGTAAGTAACAACATTAACACATTATATTGACCAGGTTAAATCCAGGAGTGGAGTTGGTCCGAAATATTTCTTGCTCACCTGAAGTGTGGTGCAGATGCTTTATATCCGTGGCGTCAGTTCAGCTAAACTGGGGTGGTATCAGTTGAAGCGTATTTAATGTAGTTCTACATCATTTAAAAACTCTAAATGCTATTTGGAGAACAGCAAAAACAAACAAATTACCCCAGACATGAATTATTATTATTATATTACGTTTATATTAGGTTTAAATGTCTAGCGTGTCATGTACAATGTACTACATTACCTCCTCATACATACTCATTTACTTGTGGAACAGCGCATACAGTGCAACATGAAATGGATGCATATTGCATGCTATAAGGTCTCAAGGCCGACTTCAAATACCGACATCAATGTGAAAGTAACCGGAGCATAAAACCGCTGACTGAATGCAAACTATGCCAGATCATTCCTACACATGCATTGAAATAAAAGGCATACATCAAAGGACTTACTTAGGGGTACAATTGACAAGGACGCATGAATATAAACAAACACGAACAAGGAATTAAAACAATTCATGAAATGCAAAAAGAAAAATCTGCACATTAAGGCCGCGCATGTGATTTCAGCACCGCTGAATGGACAGTGCCTCGGTACAGGTAGGCATAATGGAGCTCCGTGGCGTGTGGCTGAATTGACAGCGTCTATGTCTAGTAGCTAGCTAGAATTATTCAGTTTGTGGACAGTTTGACGTTTTTTGGGCACCGTTGAGTAAGTAGCCTACAATGCTTACAGTTGAAGTCGAAAGTTTACATACACCTTAGCCAAATACATTTAAACTCAGTTTTTCACAATTCCTGACATTTAATCCTAGTAAAAATTCCCTGTCTTAGGTCAATTAGGATCACCACTTTATTTTAAGAATGTGAAATGTCAGAATAATAGTAGAGTGATTAATTTCAGCTTTTATTTCTTTCATCACATTCCCAGTGGGTCAGAAGTTTAGATACACTCAATTAGTGTTTGGTAGCATTGCCTTTAAAATGTTTAACTTGGGTCAAACGTTTCGGGTAGCCTTCCACAAGCTTCCCACAATAAGTTAGGTGAATTTTGGCCCATTCCTCCTGACAGAGCTGGTGTAACTGAGTCAGGTTTGTAGGCCTCCTTGCTCGCACACGCTTTTTCAGTTCTGCCCACAAATGTTGTGTAGAATTGAGGTCAGGGCTTTGTGATGGCCACTCCAATACATTGACTTTGTTGTCCTTAAGCCATTTTGCCACAACTTTGGAAGTATTCTTGGCGTCATTGTCCATTTGGAAGACCCATTTGCGACCAAGCTTTAACTTCCTGACTGATGTCTTGAGATGTTGCTTCAATATATCCACATAATTTCCCTTCCTCATGATGCCATCTATCTTGTGAAGTGTACCAGTCCCCCCTGCAGCAAAGCAACCCCACAGCATGATGCTGCCACCCCCGTCCTTCACGGTTGGGATGGTGTTCTTCAGCTTGCAAGCCCCCCTTTTTCCTCCAAACATAACGATGGTCATTATGGCCAAACAGTTATATTTTTGTTTCATCAGACCAGAGGATATTTCTCCAAAAAGTACGATCTTTGTCCCCATCTGCAGTTGCAGACCATAGTCTGGCTTTTTTTATGGCGGTTTTGGAGCAGTAGCTTCTTCCTTGCTGAGCGGCCTTTCGGGTTATGTCGATATAGGACTCGTTTTACTGTGGATATAGATACTTTTGTACCCGTTTCCTCCAGGATCTTCACAAGGTCCTTTGCTGTTGTTCTGGGATTGATTTGCACTTTTCGCATCAAAGTACGTTCATCTCTAGGAGACAGAACGCATCTCCTTCCTGAGCGGTATGACGGCTGCGTGGTCCCATGGTGTTTATACTTGCGTACTATTGTTTGTACAGATGAACGTGGTACCTTCAGGTGTTTGGAAATTGCTCCCAAGGATGAACCAGACTGAGGTCTTGGCTGATTTCTTTTGATTTTCCCATGATGTCAAGCAAAGAGGCACTGAGTTTGAAGGTAGGCCTTGAAATACATCCACAGGTACACCTCCAATTGACTCAAATGATGTCAATTAGCCTATCAGAAGCTTCTAAAGCCATGACATCATTTTCTGGAATTTTCCAAGCTGTTTAAAGGCACAGTCAACTAAGTGTATGTAAACTTCTGACCCACTGGAATTGTGATACAGTGAATTATAAGTGAAATAATCTGTCTGTAAACAATTGTTGGAAAAATTACGTGTCATGCACAAAGTAGATGTCCTAACCGACTTGCCAAAACTATAGTTTAAGAAGAAATTTGTGGAGTGGTTGAAAAACGAGTTTTAATGACTCCAACCTAAGTGTATGTAAACTTCTGATTTCAACTGTGTATGAAAATCATAACTGGCACGCAGATCTTTAGAGATGGTAGGATCAATTGTAAATTGGTACTCATATGAAAAACGTTGCAGACCCCCTGCTATAGGCTATATGAAGCCACCCTTGTGGAACGGTGCATACAGTCTACTATGACAGTCATTGTCTCGTGCGCTTCCCACCGAAGTTGTTGCCATGCATTCAGAGATTTTCCTAATGTGTGCGCCCAGCTCATTTTTGCATTTGCCTGTGTGCATTATTCGCGGCAGGGAAGGAAAACATTATGCAAATATTGAAGCATTGTATCAATGAACGAGGCGGCTCAGAGAATATTGAAACATTTTGTATCAACAAGGCACCTCCGAGAATATTAATATTGCAACTGTTCGCTGCTCTGGCACCCCAATGGTGGAACAAGCTCCCTCACGACGCCAGGACAGCGGAGTCACTCACCACCTTCCGGAGACATTTGAAACCCCACCTCTTTAAGGAATACCTGGGATAGGATAAAGTAATCCTTCAACCCCCCCCCCCCCCCCCCCCCCCCCCCCAAAAAAAATGCAACACCCAATTCCCCTGTGTGAAAAAAGAATTGCCCCCTTACACTCAATAACTGGTTGTGCCACCTTTAGCTGCAATGACTCCAACCAAATGCTTCCTGTAGTTGTTGATCAGTCTCTCACGTCGCTGTGGAGGAATTTTGGCCCACTCTTCCATGCAGAACTGCTTTAACTCAGTGACGTGTGGGTTTTCAAGCATGAACTGCTCGTTTCAAGTCCTGCCACAACATCTCAACTGGGATTAGGTCTGGACTTTGACTAGGCCATTCCAAAACTTCCAATTTGTTGCTTTTTAGCAA